AGCTATCCCAGAAACAAAAAAAGGGATTGAACTAGGGTCCTGCAAATGTGCTTTATTTAGGCAGTACTGTGCTGTAACCATTTTGAATGTGAATGGTTTTCACTGGGGCACTAGTCTCCAGTTCACCAAGACATTCCCTATTGTCATATGCCTGTCTGCTTGATGAATTTACATCATCAGTCTGGCCCCAGGAGATATTTTGAGTTTGCAATCTCCAGGTTTTTTTTTTTTTTTTTTTTTTTTTTTTTTTTTTTTTTTTTTTTTTTGAGATGGAGTCTTGCTCTGTAGCCAGGCTGGAGTACAGTGGTGCGATCTCAGCTCACTGCAACCTCTGCCTTCTGGGTTCAAGCAATTCTCCTGCCTCAGCCTCCCAAGTAGCTGGGACTACAGGCACATACCACCATGCCCAGCTAATTTTTGTATTTTTAGTAGAGACGGTGTTTCACCATGTTGGCCAGGATGGTCTCGATCTCCTGACTTTGTGATCCACCCACCTTGGCCTCCTAAAGTCCTGGGATTACAGGCATGAACCACTGTGCCCAGACTCCAATATGTCTTATATGCATATGTATGCCATTATTTCTGCTCTTTAGATGGTGTTTACAATCAAAGGAATTCAATCCACAAGTCAGAACCCTTTGGATATGACCATTCTGTATTCACCAGAAACCATGTTATGCCCACATTACATCTCCATGATAACCCTATGAGGTAGCTATTATTATTATTTATCTTCATTTATTGGATGAGGCCGCTGAGATTTAAAAGCATAAATTATTTGCCTAAGGTCACAGAAGTAAAGATGAACACAGGATTTGGGAATGACAGAGGCAGGATTGGAACCCACATTTTCTCTCCAAGAAAACATTTAATCGTATGACCCAGAGCTCAAGATAGGAATTGTTAAAGGTCCCACATCCTGAACCAATAGATTTCCCTCCTTCCTTTTACAACACTCCTTCAAAGGCCACAGGTATCTTTAAGCAGCCTAGACTTCACGGCCTTGGCTACCTGTCCTTTTCACCTTCTATTACACCCTCTTGGTAAAGTGCAGTTGCTCCCATCTGGAGAACACTTCCATTCTCTTCTCTCTTCCCCATACTGTCAACCTCCCCTTTTTAGATACACCCCTTTGGATTTGGACAAAGACTACCGGTTCACTGGGTTCCTCTAGCTCTCACCTGTTTTGCTTCTTCACAATCTTTCACAACCAGGCTTCTGGGAAAAGTAGCCAATCTTGACTGCCTCCACTTCCTAACTTTCCACTTACTTTTCAGCCTCTGGCAACCTGACTTCTGACACCACCAATCCACTGAAATCTGCATTACTAATGACCTAGTTGCTGAATAAAATGGGTGTTTTTCAGTGCATCCTCTTTACTATTCAACACCATTGAATACTTTCCTCTCAAAGTGTTCTCTTCCCTGGGCTTCCAGGGCATAACATTCCCTTTTCTCTCTCAGACCTCTCCAGCTGCTTCCTTCAACTTCTTTTGCAGCCCCTCCTCCACCTCCAACCATCAGTGTTAGGACTTCAACCTCGGTGCTCCTGAGTGACTTGGTCACTTTCTGGAAAAAAACTTCATGATGACTCCCAAGCCTATATTTCCACCATAACTTACTCCTAAACCTTATACAACTACTTCTGAAGTCCCACAAGCAATTGAAATTTAACATGTCCCCAACTCCTTATTTCCTCCTTGTCCCCACTCCCATCTATTTTGCCTGTCCAGGTGACCACCTGCACCCAATCTTGAGTCACCTCTTTCTTGCTAGGTGAAAAAAACCCTAAAGTCTGTATAATAAATACCTGGTTCTCTTCTCTTCTCCATTCCTGATATTGCTGTACCTGTTCATACTCAATCATCTTCTCCTTCTTCTCCTTCTCCTTCTTCTTTTTTTGCTTTTCTTATTGTGGTACAGTTTATATGCAGTATAATTCACACTTTTAAGTGTATAGAATTCTATGAGTTTTGACCAATGCTTATAGTTATGTTACCACAACCACAATCTAAATATGCAACGAGTTCCATCACCCCACAAAAAACTCTCCCACGTTCATCTGCAGTCAGCCCCTTTTCCTACCCTCAGCGCCTGGAAACCACTGATCTGTTTTCTATCTTTACAGTTTTTCTTTTTCTAGAATGTCATATATATATATATATATATATATATATATATATATATATATGGAATTATAAAGTATGCAACCTTGAGTCTGGTATTTTTCACTCAGCATAATAAATGTGAGACTTAACCATGTAGTTGTAGGCATCTGTAATTCATTCCTTTTGGTTTGTTTATCTATTTACCAGTTGAAGAACATTACTTCGTTTTCAGTTTTTGGCAATTGTGAATAAAACCACTATAAACATTCATGTTCAGGTTTCCATGTGAACACAGTTTTCATTTCACTTGGGTTAATAACAAGGAGTGGAATTGTTGGATCATATGATGAGTACATGTATAATTTTGTAAGAAACTACAAAATTATTTTACAAAGTGGCTGGTCCATCTTGTTTTCTCACCAGTGATGTTCGAGAGCTCTAGATGCTCTGCATCCATGTCAGCACTTAGTATTGCCAGTTTTATATTCTTATTTTTAGCCAACCTAAGAGATGTGTAGTGGTATCTCATTGTGGTTTTAATTTCATTCAATGATTAATGACATTAAGCATATTTTCATGTACTTATTTGCTGTTCATAGATCCTCTTTGGTGAAGCATTTGTTCCAGTCTTTGTGCCCTCCCTTCACCTTAAACAAATGAATTGTTTTTCTATTATTAGGTTTTTAAGAGTTTGTATATATTCTGGAGGTGAGTCCTTTATCAGTTACGTGTTTTGCAAACGTTTTCTCCCAGTCTGTAGTTTGTCTTTTTGTTTTCTTAAGGGTCTTCAGGCCAGGTGCAGTGGTTCATGGCTGTAATCCCAGCACTTCTGGAGGCTGAGGTGGGTGGATTGCTTGACTTCAGGAGTTCAAGACCAGCCTGGGCAAGATGACAAAACCCTGACTCTACAAAAAATACAATAATTATCTGAGTCCAGCTACTTATGGGGCTGAGGCAGGAGAATCGCTTGAGCCCAGGAGGTTGAGGCTACAGTGAGCCATGTTCATGCCACTGCACTCCAGCCTGGGTGACAAGAGCAAGACCCTGTCTCAAAAACAAAAAACAAACAAACAAAACTGAGATGTCTTTAATAAACTTCTCATTTTGAGATGATTGCAGATTCAAGCAATTGTGAAAAATAATACAGAGAGAACTCATATACCTGTCCGTCAGTTTTCCCCAATGGTAACAGCTTGCATAACTATAGTACAATATCAAAATCAGGGAATTGACATTGATTCAATCCATCAATCTTATTCAATTTTATTTGACTTTTGCCAGTTTTACATGTGCTTATTTGAATAAGCACATGTGTACGTATTTTGTTTTATGCAATGCTATCACATGTGTAGATTTCTGTGACCACCATCACAGTCAAGATACAGAAGAGCCCATCACAAGGATATCTTTTATAACCATACCCTGCACACCTCCCTCGCAACCACTAATTTCTCTCCATCTCTATAATTTTGTCATTTAATGAATGTTATACAAATAGAACCACACAATATTTAACCTTTGAGTCTGGCTTTTTTCATGAAACATAATTCCCTGAAAAGTCATCCAATTTGTTATATTTATCAACACTTCCTCCATTTTTAATCACTGAATGGTATTCCATGTTTTTTTTTTTTTTTTTTTTTTTTTTTTACCATCAGTTGAAGGACATCTGTTTTTTTTTTTCCAGTTTCGGGCTATTACAAATAAAGGTGCTATAAGCTATAAACACACATGTCTAGGTTTTTGTATGACTCTTGAGCACACACAAAACAATGTGTGCTCATTTTCATTTATCTGAGATAAATGCTTAAGAGTCCAATTGCTGTGTGTTAGAGTAGCTGCGCCTTTAGTTTTGCAAGAAACTGTCAAAAACTGTTTTCCAAAGTGGCTGTACCTTTATACAGTGTATGTTTTACATCATACATTCCTACCAGTAAAATACAACTGATTTAGTTTCTTGACATCTTTGTCAGCATCTGGGGTTGCCACTTTATTTTTTTTTTTTAGCCATTCTAATAGATGAACAGTGATGTCTCATTGTGGTTTTAATTTATATTTCCCATGTGGATAATAATGTTGACGATCTCGTCATGTTCTAACAGTGTTTGAAAAGCCCATCCTGTCTTGCCATGCCTACTGCATGGGAAAGAGTCCCCTTCGTCCAGTTTTATCCTTTTCCAAAACAGAGCGAGCTCACCTCTACTTCCATCACAGCACAGCTTGTATTCCTCGGTTTTGATTTCCCGTTGAAAATCTGTTTCCATGTCACCTGAAAGGCCTTGTGAAGAAAAAAAAAAATCTATCTCCCTTTTCAGGCCGTGATCTCCAAGTGGGCTGGAGCAGTTTTGCAATCTCGGCTCACTGCAGCTTCGACTTCCTGGGCTCAGGCGACCCTCCCGCCTCAACCTCCCGCTTAGCTGGGATACAGGCATGCCACCATGCCTGGCTAACTTTTGTATTTTTTCGTAGAGACGGAGTCTCACTATGCTGCCCAGGCTGGTCTCAATCTCCTGGGCTCCGAGTGATCCTCCCACCTCAGCTTCCCCAAAACTGCTGGGATTACAAGCGTGAGCCACTGTGCCAGGCCCAGTGCTGTATTTTTTTTTTAAAGGCAAGGGCGTGGAGAAAAAAAAACAAAGGGTGAAGGAGCGGGGCGGGACAAGGCATGGCGGTTGACCCCCTTTTAATCACTGTCGAGGCCTGCTCGGGCGCCCAGAACCCACGGCCCAGACGCTCGCTCATGCGCATGCGCACGCTCTTCCCAACCCCTCCGCCCCACCCCTACCCCGCCCTGGCCACGCCCTTTAGTGGCTCCCTTAGCGTCGCGACCAATTAAGGGAGGAGGCGGGATCCGGGCTGCCGCGGTGCTCCCTGGGTAGTGTCCCTAGCTACTGTTGCTAAGACTGTGCGGCGCCTGAGGTGGCGGGAGTTAGTTTTGGCAGCCAGCGCCCGAGAGACGTCGAGGGTCAACATTGCAGAGCTGGAAGGAGATGGTGAAGCAGACGATCCAGATATTCGCGAGGGTGAAACCCCCTGTCCGGAAGCACCCACAAGGGGTACGGGCTGGAGCCTCCGGGGCGCCGGCGCGGCGGGGCCTCCTGGGCCGGGGTCGGGCGGCAAGCGAAGGGGCTGGGCGGAGGTGAGGCGCTTGTCGGCGAGGCTTCCCGCACCCACCGACCGAGGCGCCCTGCAGCCGCGGAGACGCCGGCGCACTGCGGGCAGGGACGCGGCAGACAGCCAGGCCACTCCCACCTGGCGCGGCGCAGACCCGGCGCGGGGCTTTCACACTAGGGCCGTGTTCGGTAACTACACGTAAGCACGTGCTGGACCTTCCTGGGAGACTCAGGCAGCCCCGCATACGCAGATACACGCAGAGGTACGTTTTGGCACTCAGACAAAACGTGCAAGCCAAGAGATGCCAGTTTGTGTACGTCTGAAATAATACAAATAATAGAACAATTGCGCGAAGCATACATATGTTTGGTACTTTGCACCCAGT